CTTTTGAGTGAGCATCTTTTTATAAGAATAATGTCATTGTCTGCTTTTTTTTAAACCATTTGAACGCATCAGTGCTTAAAGTCAACCCAGTACTTTTGTACCTTAAATCTGCCCTGTGAAGTAGTCACACCCCGATATTGACTAACCTTTGCAGGGATGGTCTGATTCACTGGGTGGAGTTTTGGGTGTAGCATCATAGATCGATTGCACAACTAGAAATCCGTTAGAACTGTAGCAAAACCAGACCAGATCATTGTGTTACTAATGATTTTAGAGTGGTGCCACTGAGATTTACAGAGCAACCAAAACTAAGAAAGTAGATCACATCACCCTGGCTGGAGAAGCAGCTTTTTTTTTCTAATGCTCCATAAATCTGGAATAAAAGCACAAAAAAATAAAAGCACTGAAACCCTATTTTGCCAAAAAACGCATTTATTATTATTGATGCAACCTGTATGAAAGAGACTATTTATGTTTTTTATTGTTTTTCATGTTTTATTTTTGTAAGAGTAGTCTAAGCTTAGGCTTTAGTCTTAAATCTGAGAGAATTTCTGTGCCTGAAATGTGAGCTTAAAATGGAAATGAAATGGTTAACCCAACTACCAATTCATTATGTTTAACTATTATCATTAATTACACAAATTAGAAATAAATAAACATAAAAAAGTAGGATTGTTTAATGCATTTTAGGCAAGGGCCCTGCCATTTTGCAGCCTTCTAAGCAGTTTGGTTCGATCCGTACCTACTAGTTGGAAACTACAAAGCAAACCAACCCTGTGATGTCATAGCATGAGTGCTTCAACATGGCGGCACCCTTGCCAAAAAATTATGAAACAATACCATGTTTTTCTCTTATGCTCATATTTTTCGCGTTGGTGGTATACTTATTGATAATAGTAAGACACAACCTTGTGAATTAAATTAGTTTGGTTAACCGTTTCATTTCCACCGTAAGACCAAGGCTGTCTGGAGAACGGCAACACTACCTTCTTGTATTTCAGTTTTACAATATAGATGTAAACCTTTATATGTCGTTTTAAAAAAATCTTCAATTAAAAATAATAGATTGATCCCTTTTCAGTGCACTTTATAGTTTGATTGCTTAAAAATTTATCATACGCCTTTAATCAAATATAAATGTGTTCTGTTAACAAATATTAGATATTTTCCTTTTTCTTCTAAGACCTTTTTTCGGATTAAGTCATTGTTTACACCTTTTTAATTTTAGAAATAATCCATAGGATTTCATAAGGCTCCTGCTAAATGGTATTCCCTGAAAGGGATAAGTATGTATCAATAATTCTTTTCTGTACTTTACCAAATTATTATAATTTAAGAGCTACTGCAATGCAGCTGATTCTAATCTGATGAGAAAAATTTTGATTACAGATTAGAAGAAAAAAAAAAGAATAAATACATGAACAAATAAAAAATTATTTAAATTGAAGAAACAAAAAACATTTTAACATTTTTAGCCTTCAACTTGAACTGTTTGGCTCAGTCCAACTTTTTGTCACTAAACTATTAAATCCATAATTAAAAAAAGACAGTCAAGTTATTGCATGACACACTGTAAATGTAGTTATTTTACCCCTTGTCATTATAACTTGCAACATCATGCCATTGCAAACCATTTGTTGTTGAGCTCAAAAAGTCTATCTATTTATAGAACCTTTAGGGATTTTAAACACCTTAAAGAAATCTTCCTTTAGTTGCATGTAATTTATTATTTTACACTATTTCGTGCAGTTTAAGTAAAATTGTTCTTTCTTTTTCCTAAATATATGCAGCTTCTAGACAGAGCATTTTAGTGCAGTCTTTAAGTCAAAAATGAGGCACTCTACACCTGAAGAACTCTAGATTCTATTTTATCAGATCATTAAAAAAGTTTTCTGGTAGAAATGCAGATTTTCTTTAGCTAAAATAAATACTGAAAATGTCAATGCAATAAAAAAAAAATCTACAGCTGCTCAGCTGCTTTGAGTGGTGTACAGCATGTCAAATACTCCAAATGTGAGGAATAATAACTTACATGAAGCTTGAGTCCCATGATACAGCTGAATGCTCTCCTTACACTACCAGACTGTTTACTGGATGAGCAACACATCAAGGAACAAAAGCAGGTGCTAGTTTACAATAAGAGAAAAAGTAAAGCCTGACATATCTCTATCACATGGTATAAAAACAGGGGATTCCATAGTGTTGAATAGGTTTTTTTGTTTCAATTCTCTCCCCGTCTTTGATTGGTCCCTGGGCATTTGAACATAGACTAGAGAGGAGGTTTACATTAGTAATAAATGTCACCTTCCCTCAAAGCAATTAATGGCTGCGCTTGTTTTATTAGTCCTTAAAAATGTGGAACACATAAACGTTAACTTCACTGGGTTTAGCATTTCTTTTAAGGGATCAAGACAGCTGTAAAAAAAAAATGGAGGTTAATCAGCAGCTTAGTTACAGAGTAGACAGTTTTTTATCACTGTATTTCTGTGTGTAATTATATTTGTTACCTTTTTAGGATATTTTCTAGTGTAATTGTCAGCCTTCTAAACTGGTCATTATGTGCACAGTCATAAAGCGGCGTATCATCATAGCATTTGGGATAAGATATGAATTTAGTATTTTTTTTTTTTCAGTGGGGTGTATGCCTGTAATGTGAAATTCTTTTTTTTCCAAATGAATGAAAATCAAGACAATGGCCTGAAACTGAAAGAAATCTGAAGGTGTGTGTGTGTGTTTTGTAATTGCCTGACAAAGGAGTACTGCTGTTCTAAAAGACACAAGCCACCTATGGTGATATGAAAGTACATCTAAGACTGCATAAAACAGTGTTTTAAATGAATTTGACAAGTAATCAGCACAAGAATCATTCACTTTGTTAGGTTTGCCAAATATCAAATTATTATTTTTTCAATCACAGGTGTTTTTCTCCTGTGTGTGTGTGTGTGTGTGTGTGTGTGTGTGTGTGTGTGTGTGTGTGTGTGTGTGTGTGTGTGTGTGTGAGAGAGTGGGGAGCGATTCTGAGGTGAGACTGGGAGTGATCCAGGGCAGAGGGAGAATTTTTCAAGACTAATGTTCCATGACAACAGACCAAGGTTCTGTCAAGGTGAATCAGAGCCGTGCTGCCTAATGACTTAAACACACACTCAGACGCACACGCAGCACATACACCATCCTACCAATCCTCCGTTGTCTCCTTTCTTATTCTCCTTTGTCCACCCCCACCACCACCACCACCATGTCTCATTCTCATAATCCCGCCTTCCATTTAGTCTTGTCCTATTTTACTATTGTTTTTCCTTTCTTTGCCTTTATCTTGCTGTCTTCAAAGTTGTCATTAAATCATGTATGGATTGTACGCTTCATAACAGCCAAACAATACCAACAGTAGTTCAGCAGAAAGAGCTCCATGTATGAAGCTCTCATATACCCCTGCCTCCCTGACACGTACTCCAGGCCTATAATAGTTTTGTTCTTGTTTTCCATTTTTCCACTCTCAAATGTTTCAGATGATGAACACATTTTAGACAAACAGCTAAGTATAGAAGTGATGCGTTTGTTTTTTTGTTGTTTTTTTTTTTATGTTAAATTCTTGTGCTGAGGAGAAAAAACTGTCTAAGCTAACCTGGCCTTATGTGGAAATGTAATTAAATCACAAATAAACTGTGGTTGACTTGAGTTTTTGGAAAGCTGTCTTTAGGCTATGATATATGTAAAAAGGTTACACTTTATGGCATGATCTACTGAAATATAATATTGTTTTAGATCAGAAAAAGGGTTCAAGTGGCCTAGTCAAAGGAGTTGAAGTCGTTTTGGACCCTTTTTCGTAACCTTAAACAGTCTATAATGTCACATGTGACTAAATTAAAATAGTATATTATACAGCACACTGTAAGTTATGTGATGTTTTGTAATGTTTATTTGTATAGCACCTTTCACAGACATAGAGGTCAAAAAGGGCTTCACAAAAATCAAAATACAAATAAGATACATTTGCAGTCAGAAAAGACATGGTCATAAAACAACCCTTAATCACCTGGAATTAAAATGCTTTCTTAAACAAATAGGTTTTCAGTTTACTCTTTAAAAACATCAACAAAATTAAGTAAGCGCAAGGAAAGCGAAAGATCGTTCCAGAGCGCCACGCAACCGCCTGAAAGGAGCAATTTCCCCTGGTCCTGTAACGAGTACGAGGGACCATGAGCAGGTTCTGGTCATGTTATACTGCTGTTTATGTTACGTCTTAAATATAGTAAATCTGTTCCTTTTTGACTATTAATTCTTGTCAGTAGTGTGTGAGTACTTCTGTTTGGGTGAAGCTCTGAAATCAGAAAGAAGCTCTAAGTCAATGACTGGTGGGCCCCAGAGATGCTGACAAGGCAACAAATAGTTAATATATTCTTGGGTGTTAAAATCCTGACTCCATCACCTTCCTGTCTCCCTTCCCCACTTAGATCAGATGTGTGTTTTTTAAGAAAAAAAAAACGCTGTTTCTTTACTTGCTATTTATGTTTGTTCTGTATGTGCTTCACACAGGGTGCCATTATTGTGCAGCAGATGTAAGTGCAAACAATTTGACAGGTGCAACTTGTATATTGCTGAACTGAAGCCTTTGAAATAGGATGGAGAAAAAAAGCCAATTCTAGGGGAAATGCCTCACATTTTTGATAAAGACAATATAACACGAACAATGCGACAAAACATGTGTGGGTTCAATAAAAGAATAATCCCAAGAGAAACATGAGAAGAAATCTGACTTCAAAAGAAAAACAAAGAAACTGGAAAATAAGGCAAATCAAAGTTTCCTGCTCTGTCGTTATATTTCTTATCTCTAATGAAAAACAAACTTGAAAATCCAACTCAACGAACTTAACTTACAGAACGAAACAGATTTGCATTACTCCTCTTTTTTTTCCTGCCTTGTAAGTCTGTTTGCAAGGATTCTTCCAATCTTTTTCCTTCACTCAAGTACTCATGTCAGACTCTTTCTCTCTTTCAGTTTGCAAAATGGGATTTTACCGCTCACAGTTGGAGACTTCAGCATGCAGTAAATGTCCACCCCACAGTGTGGCCAGGCAGATGGGGGCCACGTCTTGTAGCTGTGAAGATGGATACTATAAGATTGAATCTGACCATCCTAATATGGCCTGCACACGTAAGATTTATCCAGAATATTGTTTTTTTTATTTTGTTACGTGACACTAGGCCCAAAAATATTTTTTTGACATTATGATGTTAGATAGAAATAATACAGTTTCATAGTAATTAGAAAAACATTTTAGCAAAAAAAAATATATAAATAATATAGTGGTCTGATTTTTTTTTTCTTGTTTGTTTACTTCAAGGGAAATTATGCCTTCTGCTGCAAGATTAACATGTTGATTACATTTCTAAGAATATTACCTATCACTATAGCTTGAAAGAAAATAAGCTTTGGATGCACTTAACAAGTTCACAGAGAGTAAACTACTAATAGGTTCTGGAGGTTTAAAAGTTCAATCCTCACTATATACTGATTGCAGAAACCTTCTTATTCCTATATGACTTTCCTCACTGTAATCTTTAGTTATCGGATTGCTATATTATACCATTCCTGGTATTTTTTTTTTTTTTTCTATTATCTAAGCAATTTTAACCTTTTTAGGCCCTCCCTCTGCACCCCGGAATGCAATTTCCAATGTCAACGAAACCAGCGTCTTTTTGGAGTGGTCTATTCCAATGGAGACGGGGGGTAGGAAAGATGTCCGCTACAACATCCTGTGCAGACGTGTTTTACCTGATGGCCGAGGCTTAGAGGAATGCGGCCCCAACGTGCGGTTTCTGCCACGCAGACTTGGCCTGTCTAACACCTCGGTGATGGTGGCCGACCTGCAGTCGCACACCAACTACAGCTTCTTGTTGGAGGCTGTCAATGGTGTGTCAGAGCTCGCCAAAGACCATGCAAAGCAGTATGTGACACTTAATGTGACGACCAATCAGGCAGGTAGGTGTTGAATCTCACATTTGCATTTTTTTCCAGTATATGTGTTAGAATTACTGTTTTCATACACTGAAAAAGCATTTGGCATAATAATCCTTTTCCATTAGAATAAAAGGTTATTGGTTATTGCGAAGCAGTTTTTCTGTCCTATGGACCAGCACAGATGATTATGTCTGTTTCCATTAAGAATTAGCTGAATGTGGGGAAAAAAGACTCCAGATGATCAATTTATCACAGTATTTATTCAACAGATTTGTCACTGTATTAATTTCCACCTATTAACTGTCCATGTTAGCAGTATTTTTTTTTTTTTTTTTTGCTTTCAGATATGTTATCAAAAAAGCAGCTTGGTCCCTTCATTTTTGGGGAAACATTCCACACACAAGATTCACAGAAATATGTGGCATATTGAATGTCCCTGATTTTCAAGCTGTTGTGTGTGGTTGGGTTTTGCGCATGATGCGCAGGTTTTATTCTGCTTTCATGCCAGCAGTAATAAATCATTGTGATAAAACAGTTTGCTGAGCATGTCATCTGTAGGTATGGAACAACTGAATCAGAATCATCTTTGTTAACTTAGATTCTGTGCACAATGAATTTGACTTTGGTTTAACGTTACAGACAGGAAAAAAGATAAAGGGTAGATGTAGTGCTATGTGCATCAATGTGTTTCAATATTTTATAGAAAGAAGTGGGGGTTCTTTGACCACTGACTGTATAGTCATCTTTGAACTTGATGAGTTTAACAGATTGACTCTCGCTTCTCTTAGTTGCCCTGATATCCTTGTTCAGGTTGTCTTTTTTGTCGGCTTATACAGGCCCAGGTCCTCTCTGCTATAACCTCTTTGATTTGATGCAAATACTTTACATGTGAACTAAACCATTTATTTTTTTTGTTTAAAGTGAAAGGTCTTGTCCAGCTCACTTGTCCTTTCCAAAACTGATACGTACATGATGGAGGTTTCAGGAAATGAATCTAGGTCAGTGGCTGAAGCTTCAAAAACACTCCACTCTGTGGAGGTCTGTAACATCTGCTCTCACTTCCATCCCCTCCTTAAGAACAGTTGTAGATGTGTTCAGTTGTTATCTGTCTGTTAGACTGAGAAAAGGTTGACACAGATCACAGAGACCTAGATATGCATGGTTAACTGCATAGTATGCCTCTATTAGCACAATGCAGCAGTGTTCCTGTTTGTTTGTGTCTGTGGTTGGATATTTAATATGCTTTCTGTATTTTGGTAACAATTTGAGGTTTGCGTGTGGACGTTACTGACCAAATATTTAAGCACTATTATGATAAGGTGGCTCATCCTTGGTTGTGAGTTCCAGATGCAAGAAAATGGCAGGGTTATCTGTCCTAACAATTATATGCACGTATAAACCTTATGTGAAATGTAAAATTTCCGAGCCTGAGAACAACATCCCACCTGTGAAGTACAGTGGTGGCAGTATCATGTTAATTAAAAAAAAAATTTATCCTGAGGAGAGAACCAGAAACCTTGATCTCAAGCCACAAAATATATATTTTGCTAAATGCTGAAGAAATATACGGTGCATTAACCTTTTAATTGTAAAAAAAAGTCTACTAAAATTCTGCATTTAGTAAAAGTAAATATTTATTGTAAAAAAAAGTTTTAAACATGAAATGTCTAGTTTGTATATATACTTTTATCCAGTGTATGTAAGTGTCTGATTTTAACTGTGAGTCTACAATATTACTGCAGATTTGGGATGTTAACACATCATCCTCCTCATAGGAAAAATGCACTTGTGGAGTTTGTGTTATTTGGTTATAATGATCCGGTTAGCTCACTTCGTAATGAAATTAGAGACATAAGATATGACAGGTCCTCTCCCCTAGGCTTCCATCTGGAGGAAAAGCAAAAGGGGGAAAAAAGTGGCATTGAAGGATTGGACTGGCTATGTTTCGCTGAACAGATGGCATGCTGGTATACAAAGAACAGTAGGTAGTATTACTAGCAGCCTCAGTCAGAGTAGTAGTGGTTGTAAAAGGGCAGATAGCAGATATGCTATGTGTTGAAGGCGGATGCCTTTAGATATAGGATGGGGGCAGATTGTGACTGACAGTGAAGACTGCTGACAGACCTCTAAATGTATTGCCACTGTAGCTGTCAGCAGACTGAGTGGATTACACTAGGCTATAGAACTCAGATTTGGGTTATTAAAGTTGTGGCTGGATTAGCCAGTCTCGGGATCAAATGGAGATTTGGGATTAATTTAGATTACACACCAGAGATGCAGACATATATTTTTTTACAGCTCTTTGGCAATAGGGAAGAAGGCTTGAGTTTCTGTAAGTAATCCATTGTTCTGAATTGTTTCATAAAAGATATTAAAAAAAAAAGATTTTTTCAAATTGTTTAGGTATAATTGATAATTGTTTGGCTATAATTACATGAATTAAAATTCTAACTGTTTCAGTTTGATTTGTGTAATAATATCAGTTCTATCTTTGCATCAAAGCAGATGTACCAAACCTTTCTCTGATTTTATTTATACTCAGTGAAGTGCATGGATGTGTTTGGAAAAAGCTAACTAGATTTTTGAAGATGAAACAGGATTACAAGATTACACAACTGCATGAAAATAGAATAGCTTAATGTCGTATTAAAGATAACATAACACTGTGATATTGAATAGCACAAAATATCTAACTTAAATGTTAAAAAATGTAGCACATAAATCTTGGGGCTTTGTTCAAGAGAAGCATAAACTAAGAAATGTTAATTAGATCTCATGATAAAATACCATAAACTGAGAAATGGTGTTGTTTAAAAGCAAAAGAAAAACAATCAAAATCAGTAAAGTTGATCATATTCTTACTTTAGGATCAGTAAAACGGGTGGAATACTATTGTCAAAACAGCTATAGGAAGTGATTACTTTTATTTTTTTTAAATGCAACAATCAGCCATTGTTGCAGTGGCTGCATTACTTTCTGTCCGGGGATTAAAATTATTTACACTTCTTGAACTTTTTCAAACTGTCTGATCTTGCAAACAAATACCTACAGTAAAAATTATTTTTGACAGCCCTTTTTAAGATGACACCTCTCAATAACATGTAGTGCCTTCACTTTAGAGGTTCACCTGGGTATAACTTTATCTCATTTTGAATAAAGCCATTCTATCCTTTCATTAATTTACAAAAACATCAGTAAAAATGATCAAAGACAGTTTAAAGCATAATTGTAGGAAATTTGAGGCTGTGATGAAGTTTCACAAAACAGCAAACAACAAAATTTAACATATAGTTAAAGCTACTGAGGCATATTTAGATCAGTATATTCACGAGCTTAAGCTATTTTGCAAAGTAGAAGTAATATTCAGTTTCTACATGTGCAAAGCTGGTACTGTAGGGAAGTACTTAGTAATTTGCAGCAGTAGTTTTAAGGGTCAATTTGCCGAGCATGTTTCTCAGACTTATTGGTAAAAATGAATTATAAAACAATAATCAGTTTTACAGCTCTGCTCTAATTCATATAGGTACATTGAAAATAAAAATCCTTTCAAAATGCAATTCAGTGTGTGATTGTTTTGTGACAAATTGTAATGTTACATATTCATTCATAACAGTTGTAGAACCATAAACAGAGAAGCATTAATTACTGCTGTCATTTTATGACGCTACAGTGAGTCCTCGTAAATGTAAAATTACTCCACAAGCGATGTTTGTTATGTACAGCTTCACTTCCTCTTATCAGCCAACCTTTCACTCAAGGACCTTGATCACTGCGATATGCAAATCATGTTTAATTTTGTGTTCAGTATGTGTTCTGTTTCCTGCTGGCTGTGTTTTGCCTTTGTTAGTAAAAAGCCATTGAAAGAGAACTCCTGAGGGACATGAGAGTGGAAAACACTAACTGCTAGGTAGACATGGAGGACCTGCTGTTTGATTGTGCAAAGAGTCACATGTGATAAGCAAACCATAAAATAGGTGATTTCACAGTAGTATCTCTGAAGTCCTGCTGCACATTAAAGCGTTGTGTGGAGGTGGGTGAGGAATATTAAATGTTCAGGAGTAAAAAAAGAGGCTAAGAAGTCAATTTGGAGAATTGAGGTGGAGGGCTTTCATATGAGAAAGTCCAAAAAACGATCAGCAAATAAGGAAAAAGTTGGACAACAAAATCTGCTACATTATTGCTGCATTTGGTAAAATTGATTTATGAAGGGCGGGTTTCACTTAATTAAATATAAATAGACCTTCAAGATATTTTTTCATGGACAACCTACCCGTAAACCACCCTTTCTTTTTTTCTTTTTTCCTTCTGAAGAACTGTAAACATTGATGTTTTATCATTCTATTTATATGTTGTTGACATACTGTGTTACAATTTACTGCACATTTTTTCAAATTCTAATTTTGTGGGTGAAATGGCTTGTTTTTTTAACCCCATTTGATTTACAAAGGTACATTCCAGTAATGAATCTTCATCATTCTGGTAATTGCTGGTGAAGATTCTCAGTCATCCAGGTCATAGTCATTCTAAAAACGTTAAAAAAATAATCCACCCAGACAAACGGGTCTTCCCATTCAATTTGCTTGTTTTCTAAGCCAAAATAAGGCATTGTTTTGGTCCACTCTATAAAGCCTGGAACTCAACAGTATTTCTAACATTTTGAATTGAAAAATCTTCCTGGATGGGAAGCGTAACGTCTTCAAACTTGGAAACAAAGTCCAGTGGATTGTTTTTTAACATTTTTGAAAGAATTGATTTCTTAGTTTAACATTTAGTTAGTTTATTTGGCATTTATTTACCTTACCAGACAATTCCAAGTTCCCACTCCCTATATGTTCCCAAGTCCATCAGTGATGTCTTCAGTTCTGTTGTTTCTAAACTAAAGCCAAATGCATCTTTGCCCTTAACTGGTAATTTTCAATCACTCACTTTCTTCCTTACTGCTAAGCTTCCAGCAGTCTGTCAGCTGCTTTATCATAAACTTTGGGCTTGTTATATCCAAATGTCAGGGACTCCTACATCTCTTCCTCCTCTTGGGAAATTAGATCACAATCTTGATTTTTATTTTTTTTCTGCTTGAAGTATGAGACCCTATATAAAAGACAAATTGCCTTAAAAAAAATGTAAGTAGATGGTCACAGTGTACTGGAGAAGACCTGCAAGGTTATTTTGATGCTACAGACTAAAACTCACTGTATCAGTCACATGGAGAGGACATCAGTGTGTGACTGACTACATAAACGTCTGCATAAATAACACAGTCCCAATCAGAGCGGTGAAATGCATCCCAAATAATGAGCCCTAGATAACCAGTGATCTGAAGGAAATGTTAAACAAGAAAAAAAGAGCCTTCAGGAAGGGATACAGAAGATGTTTGAATGGTATAGAGAAGCATTTTAAGGTCCAGATAGGAGAAAACACGGTGGCACACACTAGGAGGCTGCAAGGCAAGCTCCAGTAGAATAATATCAGAGATGTGTGGTCAGGGATGAAGAAGATCACAGGCTTCAAGCAGAAGGAGGATCAGACAGATGAAGTCTGAACAGAACCAGTGAACTGAACTCATTCTTCAATAGGTACAGTTCAGGAATAAGCTCAGTATCCTTATCTCTTGCTCACAGTCAAATGGATATCCCCCCCTCGTTTGACCCAAACCTTCTCTGTAACAGCTTAAATGTTTCCTCTCCCATGGACCCTTCTGCTTCTATGTAGTTGTTCTCAGACAACTCAGAAAATGGTGCTGCTCTCTCCTCCTTCCACCTGGAGAGACTGATTAGAAATAAGTCAACAGGTCCAGATGTTGTCATCCCCAGAGTCCTGAAGACCTGCTCTGAGTAGCTCTGCAGGATTCTACAGCACCTCTTAAACCTTAGCCCTACATAGGAGGATTTTTTTTATTGTTTTCGAAGACCTCTTGCCTTGTTCCAGTATCAAACTCTTCCAATAGTCCTCAAGGACTAAAGACCTGTTACCCTGATATCCCACATCAGGAAAGTCTTAGAGAGACTTCTATTGAATGCCAGCTCTGTTGTAGGAACTCGCCAGAATCTCTGCAGATAAAATCCCAAAGAATTCTTCACAAACTGAAGAAGATTAAGGATAACCAGGAGCATCCTGTTCAGAAGATCGTTAAACACCAACACAAGATGGACTGCTACAGAAAATCCTACAAACACTCATTAAAAAAGAAAACTGACTTACTACAACATTTAATTTCCTTTTGGAATTAGTGAAGTATATTGAATTGAGTTAAAAGAACCCAATTTAAACTGAGGCTAACCTGTGGAGATATACTATGACTAACGCAATAAAGAAATTTTCCGTGAATACAGATGACACGCATTGTGGAGTGCAGGACAGACTGCTCTGCACCTCTTTCAACCCTGGCTTTGTTGTAAACTATACTGTATGCTCCATGTGCCGCTGCTACACACTGATTTCCTGTGTTTTCCCCGCTTTCTTTCGTCTGCCACTCAAAGCAGCTGATGGCAGAGGTGCTCACTCTCACAGCCATCAAAGATATGTGCGCAATGTCCAAACGAGTACACTGCTTCTGTTTGCAGCATCACCCATAAATACTTTTCTCAGACAGTATTACTCCATACAGTAACAATGTTAAGGGTTTCTCCTTTGCATTTTGTCATATGGAGCTTCTGGTAAATTATTATGTAAAGCCAGAAATGCAGAAAGTTGTTGCTTGGTGTTTTTGACCCAGAATCTTCTTAAATAGGAAATACATTGTCTTTATTTATGTTTTTCTCTTGGTTATAATGTTGGATGTTGATTAATACAAATTAACATTTATAAACCCATCAGAAACCCTTCAAATTGGCATTATTTACTTTAAGCATCATAGAGTGCACTAAAAAATGCCTCAAGCAATGTTTCACAATTATCATTAATTGTAATAGGGAAGTGTAAAAATATTATAAGTTATCTAAATAACAACTCTTTTCTCAAATAAAATCAATTTGTATTATGAGAATCGTGAACCATCTATACTTTTTTTTTTTTTTTTTTTTTTGCGTAGGTAACTTTTCCAGATATTGTCTTAATGATAATTAATTGCATGACGTTTAAGTTACATTGAAATGTGAAATGTGACCCTGTGTCGGCTATTGGGCCTTTTTTGAGAATACCACAAAAGAGCAGGCAGGGAAAAGGTTAGATCACAAGTTCTAATAAAGGCATCTCTGTCCCTCATCTCTGATTTATTGTTCCCTCATCTTTCTGACATTCTCAAAGGCTCATTATAAAACAATAAAGCAGATAGTCTAAGATCCCTATTGATTTTTGCGATGGTGCAGACAGATAGGAGTCTGGCAGGGTTATGTTCAGCAGTGTAATAACCTGCTTATCGAAAAGAGGGTGTGTAATCATGCACCAAAGTGTTTTCTTACCCTTTTCTAACCTTTTTTCTTAATTATTATTTTTATTATGTGTTAGAATTAAGATGAAATTAGTAAAATGGCTGCTATTCTGATATCGTGCTTTTAGCTGAAACACATTCATGTTTTGCTTTACTGTGCTGAAGGTGCTCATTAGCAGATGTAACAGGGAGCGGAAGTCTTCAAGCAAAGAAGCTTCTTCACGCTGCTTTTTCTGTTGCTAAAATAAATGTGTTGCTTGGGCCCTGCCAACACTTTTTCAGCAGGTCTCTTCAATGTTCTCACTAATATTTTGATACTCAATTTTTTCTTGCACTGCCTCGTCTTCTATTCCCTCATTTACAAAATGTCCCAATCTTCTCTCACTCTTTCTCTGCTCTACTTCCATCCAAACTCTTGCATTAGAAATTCTGTTGAGAACCAGCGATCACAGGTTTGGTGTGTGATATCCAACTAGCGATTTATCACAGCTCTAGCAAGGGGATACTAATTTTAGTCACATGTTTAAAACTTTCTAAATTTTTTGACACTTGAATTCTCTTAATGATAAAATGTTATTGTATTGTAAGTATAAAGGTAGGACACAATGTATAGGACTAGGTACTCTGTTTTTTTTGGTGGGAGGTTTTTGTTGATGTTCTTTTAGATAAAAACATATATATTACTGTATGTTGTTAAAAATGTGTTTGTGAAAAAGAAAAATGTTTTGCATCTTTATTTTTAGTCCACATTTTTTTCAAACTGATCATTGCTTTGATCCTTATTAGAAATCGTTGTCTTTGAGAAATATTTGATACTGTCAAAATGTGTTTCAGTTATATTTATTATGCATAAAAACATTTAACCCTTCAAAGCCAATTTTATCATATTTGATACATGAGTTTTTGAGATCTCTATATCATCAGTGTTACATTTTTATTCTTGAAAACCCAGACTTAAACAGTAGGACGCATGTAGTGAACAGAAAATGTTTAAAAGATTATAGAAAAATGCCTTATGTATCAAATGTTTTGCAAATAAAAGATCTTATTTAATTATGCGGATTCTTTTTTTTAATGTAATTTGTCAGAAAGTACAATGACGACTCTAATAATAAAAAAAAAAAATTCTCTCCATTATTATAAGGTCCAGGATATAAAGGGTAAATATTTTATTTGTTTTATTTTTTTTAAACATAAAATCTTTTATTCTGCCATACCAAAATGCTTGTGCACCATCCTTTACTGATTAATGCAGCCCTGAAAACGGCATCCCTTTTTCGAGGTGTTGCGTAAAGTTTTTAGTGTGAGAAAATATATAAAATACCCCTTCTGTAATCACTGAATCCCTGCCTTATACAATTTAAGTGGTGAAAGTGTGTGCGCATATAATTTAGTTTCTAGTTTCAGGCTTTTAAGATGTCGCAGATAACACTGCTGTGCAACCATCCACATCGGATTTAGTTACTGTTTGTAGCAAAGATTTATTCCCTGTAGAGTTTCACAGAGGCTATTGAAACCCAAACGCTGTTTAGCATTTGTGCAGAATAGGGACACTGGCACATGCACGCGCACACACTGATGCATCAACACTTATTCGCCATCAAGATGTTGCCTTGGGGAGCATTTTGCCTGGTTAAAAGCTCTTTATGTGTCAGAGACCCTCCAACTGTCCCTCCGAGAGATGGCAACAGCTCAGATTACAACAGAAAGGCTCTAAGGATGATGGAAACTCTCACAACTTGGCCTCAAAATAGTAAGAATGCATTTATTGAACAGCAGTAGGTGAAAGTGGAAATAAAAGGAAAATGAAGATTGCATCAGTGTTTATCTCGTTTATTTCAAAGGTTGTGTTTTTTATTCAAAGGTTGTGTTTTTGGTCTTGAAAGTTTGGTAGTGTGAGGTAATTTTTAAAGCTTACCAAATTTTGACTTTTAGGAGCGGGTCTCACCTGGACGTGAGCAGGTGCTGAATTGGCTTTCTCGTCTCATCAAAATGCACCTGTTCAATTGTAAGATATAAAGGGATTGCATAATTAGATACAGGTGCATCCAGCTCGTAAACATCCTTAAGCGGCATATCTGCTTTCAGAACCAATATATCTGCTTAAATTAGAGTTCAGTGGACCAAGGAGAAAAACCTTAATTGATTTTGAAGTCCTGGAGATTTGGAGGAGGCAAGTTAAAGAAATCACACTGCAAAACTCTTCTATTATTGGGTATAATTAAACTGTAACTCTACTGTTATAGTTTTTTATGTAATGTTTTTATAATTGTGATGGTCAATCCACTACAGTGCCTTTCTAATAATATTGTTGAATTTTTGACCTAGAATGTGACATTATTTTTGTATGTTTATTTATGCAGCACCCTCCCCAGTCAGTGTAGTGAGGAAAGGCCATACAGGAAAGAGTAGCATCGCTCTTTCTTGGGCAGAGCCTGATCGTCCTAACGGCATCATCCTCGAGTATGAGATCAAATATTTTGAAAAGGTAAGGATGCAAAATTATATTTCTTTTATGGCTGGTCTTGGAACCTTTCTGAGTGGCTGAGAGTGGATAGTTTTTGCATTGGTGTATAGTGTTAAAGGTGAATGATTTCAGTTATATACAACTTATTTACTAAAAGGGTATGAGCCAGCAAAACAAAAAGTGCTGTGCATTATTATGTGCACAAATTAAAAGCATTTTGATCCTTGCGCCTTTTTCTAGTAATGCAAAAAAGCCATTTAAATACTGATTAATAATCTACATAAAAAGATTTTTCTAAACTAGAATCTTTGGAACTCCAAAGGTTGGTAGCTAAAAATAAGAAAAGTTGGAGTCAGTTTGTTATTTATCATCTCTAACTCTAAGATGTACAAATACATGTTTCTCTTGTCTAGTTTTTCTTTTTTATTATATCCATACATTATTTTTCACATTGGATTAAGGGCAGCACTGCAGTTTGATGCTGCCAACCATATCACTGTTTCTCATGTGCGCTTCTCCTTTTCCCTGTGCCTGGCTCTAATGTCTTCTTTTATGGAAGGTCAGACTACAGGTTCACATGAGAACAGAGTGCAGTTTGTGGTCAGCGGTCGGCTAATGGCCTCGGCCTTAATGGAAGGAGCATTTAGTTTTGTTTAAACCTGATGTGGTTTCAGCTGGAAAACTGATGCTCGCACACGGGAATTTAAAAATCACTTACTTTACACACCATACTGCACAGGTGGCTCAAGCACATAAATGAGTTTTTGTGTGCTCAAGCACACAAAAACTCATTTATTAATTCCTCATTTATTAATGATTAATTCCTTTCTACCACTGCTACAGGATCAGGACTCCAGTTATACTATAATAAAATCTAAAGAAACAGAGATGGTGGTGGATGGCCTTAAACCTTCTTCAGTCTACATCTTCCAGGTAAGGGCGAATTAGATAATCAGCATTCATTGCACTCAAACTTAAAAGCCTCATAACATGCAAGGACCACAAATGTACTTCATGAGCAGTGAAAAAATACAAATGTTTACTTATATCTATACAAAAAACTGGATTTCATACTCATATGTTTAAATCTAAATAATTCTATTCTCCATCTTGTTTAAAGACTTAGACAGATTTATTTTGTCATTTTGTATACACAAGTGTAAACAAAGTTAATAAATTCTAATCAATAATTAAATCAATAATTAAAGTGAATTAAACAATCCTGTCTTAGTTTTTCTGCCCTGTATTTGGCTACGTTGTTCAGCTTCCCTGTTTCTGTTGAAGAAAAGTGTGAAGAAAAGCCTTATGCTGCCAATATCTTCTAACCAGAGCACCTTCCTCCATATAGTATGTTTGCTCTGCCAGTTTGTGGTAAAGAGTAAAAGGAACTAAATGCATCTTTTTTTTTCTACTATTCCATAAAGGTCAAAATTTTTGAGATTTTATTCCCATGCTGTGAATTTCTGTAGCTCCTCCAGAGTTCCAGTTTCTATCTTGGTGGCTTCTCTGATTTTGCTCAGCCTCTTAGTGTAGATGAACAGTCATGTACTAATAGATTTTCCTGTTCTGTGAAATGATTGTTTGTACAGTATAGTGCTCCTTGAGATATTTTTTTTTGAGAAATGTTCTTTTGGTTCACCAATCTTCTCTGATCAACCCTTAAAACCTTCATACAAAAGCTCAATTTAAACTGAACTGAATTTTACATGGCAGGGCTGTTTTCCCATCAGATGACTGAAAGACTGCTCATTGCTATGGATTTTATTTAATGTGTTTTAAAGAGGGTTGAATGCATGTGAATGCTGTCTTTCAAGAATTGATTTGAAAACATTTCTGAAAAATGCTTTTCTTCTACTCTTAGATTTTTTTTTTTATATTTCATAACACCCAAATAAAATGCGTAGAAGGGTGTGTTTGCAGCATGATAAAATGTTTCGAGACCTATAAATAGTTTTGCTACATGTAGGCACTGTAATTTAAACAGCATATATTTTTTGAAGGGATATGGATTTAAAGATAAAATACCACTTTATATTTAAGCTCTAATGAAATGTATTTAAAGCTATTATACAACACATAAATATGGAAATATTTAAAATGATTGAAATGGTTCATGATTCATTCATTGCAGGTACGAGCCAGGACCTCTGCAGGTTATGGTGCATTTAGCCGACGTTTTGAATTCCAGACGAGCCCTTACTGTGAGTATACCAGAGATGGGAGCATAACAATGGAATCAACAATAGAGGCCAGGTGCAGCTTTGTGAGTTTACGGTGTGTCTAATCTCACATCTTTTTCTTTTGGCAGTAACTGCCACTAGCGAGCGTGCTCAGGCTTCAATAATAGCAGTGGCCATCACGTTGGCTCTGGTTCTGCTGGCGGTGGTTGCTGGATTCCTCCTCAGCGGACGGTGAGCATAAATACATTTAAAGTAGATCAGATGGCAAATTTTAAGTAATGGGGGGGGGGTATATCTTACATCAATTAACATTTAAAACACACAACTAAAGAAGTTTCAAGAAAAGCTTTGTTTAAAGTATAGAATTATGCACATATTTAATCTCATGATTTTTATTATTATTTTTTTTTTTTGCTTTTATCATGTGTTGACAGCTTTTTAGGAAAACCTGTCACTAAGCAACTCACTTTGTGTTTTCCTTGTGACATCTGCTGGGGGCAACAGTTCAAAGATATGGTAGCCAGGGTAACAGAGGTTTTATGGTCCTTTTGTTGTCTTGGGGTTGTTAGCTGTGCAGGAAACTTTGCCAAGTTTGTTCAAGATGTTGCAACATCGTATGTCACGCAAGCATTCTCTTTTTTTTATTATAAATGTGTTACGCACACCACAATGCTACAACAATTTATACCTAAATTTATTAATACTATATATAGTTTTTATCTGTCTGTCCCATCTCAGACTGTAGTATTTAAATAAGCCTTTTAAGTGTCACCTGTTTATCTTAGCAGTGAAATTATCTTTATCCACCTACTATTGAGTAGTTCCCTATTTTTTAATAAAGAGCTTTAACAAAGTCAGGATCCAGATTATGTTCATTTTATATAGAATTCGATCTTTTGATGTTTTTGGATTTCTATGAATACGTTTGGCTTACCAAAGATCTTATCTGTGAATTTCATATATTAATATTATAAAGACCAGCTTAAAATCATGTTTAAGTTAAGAAGTGCTAAAGTAATGTTGACATAAAGTTCCTCCAGGCTGGTTTTTGAAATCGATCAAATTCTAATCAGAATAAACAAATCTTATTTACAAGAAGGCACTTGTGTAGCTTTGTGAATCCATGAGTTTGTTATCTATGAAATAATTTGCACTGGATGTTAAAGAGTTTGGTTTTGCATATAAGAGATTCAAACCTTCTTTCATTGTGTCCCTCAGTAGTATAATCTTAATTAAGAAATTAATTTAAGTACATATACTGTAGAGAGTGGGGGGGGAGTTTTAAAAATTTAAAAACACTGATTGCAACATGATTGGGTCCAAAAGAAATCTTAGTAAGACTCAAATTTGAAAATGAGAACCATTTTAATTCTCCCTTTTAACATTTAGCATTGCTAAATCATGGCTGGGCCAGTTTTTTTTTTTTTTTTGCACAGTGCCATCCCTCTTGAGTTGTTTGTGTATGCATTATTTTATACATCTAAATGAAAAAATGGAAGATACTATGTATGTACTCGAGGGGGACTTCCTGTGCATTAAGTCTGCTCAATCCTCTTTTACTCAGCCAGCTAACAGAGTACTCTCCACCAGACACTAAACAGACACCCCTTCCTCAGTATATTCAGAATTCCTTTGCAAGCTTTTCTTGCCTGGCTGCCTGAGCCATTTGAACAGGGTTCCAATTTCTGCATGTTTTTTGCGTTAATGTGCCAAAAATAGTTAAAATCCTCCATCCAAATCAAGTACTTAACTTTTTAAATGTATTTGAAGCTGCCTCTCATACAACCAACTTTTCAAATACCAATGAGATTTTCCTGTTTATTTAACTTGTTTATTTTTGTTGACATGTGTAGTGGTTGTGTTTGCTTGTAGGATCACATTAAAAACCCATCACCCCGTTTAATCTGTGATTATCTCTGATGCCATTTGTCTAAATATCAACATACGGCAGCTATCTAAGCACAAACACACACAGATATACACATGCAGGCAGTATAAAAATAAATACAGGCTCTGGCAGCACAGACATGCTTCTTAAATGGACATTAGAGAAAAATAACAGAAAATTATGCATCTGGTCCACCTGCCTTATCTTTTAAGATGACAATAATATTAATTAGAAGCTAGTAAAACAGTTTTTAGTGAAAAAGGCATTGCTGTTTGTTACTAGTTAAATGTTATATGAAAACTGCAAACTTATGCATGTTTTAGATTGATTGTCCTCATCGGTATTTTTGAAAAGCTTGAAATGTGGGTTAGCTATTAAATGATAAATTAAAAGGATGTTATGTTTTTTTTTTTTTTTTTATTTAATGACTATAACATATATATTCTACCCTTATATTTAAGTTGTTTTCCTTTATACATTTCCCAGGTTAACAAGGATGAAAATATTTGTTTTCCAATTTATGCACAGTAATTAAAGTTTTTTTATTTATTTTATAAAAGTTGTTGTTTAAAATTTGTAAATAAAAAGGGTTAAAACACAACTTAATCTGCATAATCAGAGGAAGGTTTTAAATAATCCTTAACTTTATACTTAAAATATACACTTTTAATGGCTCAACTAACTATTTGGTATTGTTGTTATTTTTTTCTGATTAGACGGTGTGGGTACAGCAAAGCAAAGCAGGATCCTGAAGAGGAAAAGATGCATTTTCACAATGGCCACAGTAAGTCCAAATTTGCCATATGTAATAATATCATTGCATGCATATATCCAAGTTCATCTGAGGTTCACAGCACATGTTAGGCTGCTGGTCAGACAGTGTTGATGTCTCTGTTTATCTCCTAAAACAGGCCTGTCCGCCACCAGTGTATATGTTAGGGCTTTGTGCCAAGAGCTGTTTTCTGAATGACATCCATGTTGTTAGAGGACACGTAACACTCTGTAGCATTATAGGTTAAGACAGCTTGATATATTTCTCCACACATTTTGATGTATCCATCTGTCAGTTACTCAGCCAGCTGTAATGGGTTTATGATCTACAAGAAAAACCATCAAGGAACCTATATGGGATACAGTCAACGTGGAGAAGTAAGGTCTATATGTACGTGCAGCTAGTCATATACTCAGAGCAGAATTATATTTTCTTGATTAAGATGGATTTCTTTAATTGGGTGAAAAGGTTTTAAGGAACTTCTGATGCATTTACAAAGGGAATTTAAAGATTTATCAGTAATATTATTTCTATGAACGACTACATTTCTAAAAGGCAGTTCAGAGGGTACTCAACTCATATGCAGCTAGTGAGTTGCACTGTTTTAAACTTTAAGAAAAAAAATACAAATTATAATATTGAAAACAAATTAGAATGGACAATTTTAATTTTGAATGTCTGTTTGTGATGAACTATTTTAAAACAGGTCATCTCTTAATTTCAGTAGGTAACTGTGATCACATCTTAATTTTTAATAAATGCTGATTATTTAGTCATAGAGGCTGAAATTTAAACTAGTCTGTGAGGGACAATGCCCTATATTTGTGATAAAGTAATTTGTGTAAACTCTGTACTTTAAACGTTTTATATATTTGCATTAGTCAATTTATTACATAAATGGAGATTATTATTTAAGCATGAAATAGTGTAGAATACTTTGTGGCACCAGTTATATCACTGTATGTAAGAAACTCAGAAACAAACATAAAAAGCGGTTGTAGCAAGACGATTGAAAAAACTTAAGTGGCAATAAAAAGAGGATTTTTAAACAGTTTTCCTTCTATATAAGAAAGAAACCTTAAATTAAAGTGGTTGACATATTTTTTTCTCACAACTTAAGAACAATGTCGTAATTTCACACTTTAAATGTTCACTGGCTTCCTTGTGCTCTTCTGTCCAGTAGAAACAGGACTGGAGTTTCAAGGTTCTTAAATTGGTATTTGGATACAGTCTTTATGTTTGTTTTTAAAACTGGAGTTGGTCCCTGGCTACCATATGTTTGGCCCCTATTGGACCAAAAACTAGCTTCAGCCTCCAAGAATTTTCTGTGGGATCCTTTTCTGCTGTGAACAATCTAGCCTTGCTTTTTTTTTAGCAGAACTGTGCTTGAAAGTCCTTAATTTCTTGTTTGTGAGCAGATGTTGAAAAGCAACCAGTTGTCATCTTGTTCCTGACAAGAGATCTATTGTAATCCTGAATTATACATAGTTTAAACTCAACTCTTAAACCTAATAGTATTTTTGCAATATCTCCAAATGTGCCGAATCTTTATTCACTAATTAACCCAACTCTTTTACCACAAACATTCTGTAGATATGACATACGTAAAACATAATAAAAAATTCTGTACTTGATCATAAAAAATGAATTTGTGTTTAAGTCAGTCAAATTAATGAAGTATAAGAGAGGGGGATGTTATGTACAGTATATGTACACTAGTATTGCTCTTTGCAAATGAAAGGAAAATGTGCACTCAGGTTTAAAGTAAAGGATCAAAGAAAGTGTCCCAAATGTTTTACATCAGTGAAGTGTATTGCAGAACCAAGGTACACAAACTGCTGTGAAAGGAAATGGAAACCAAACAAGTGCTACATTAAAACTGTGCTCTGGTTTCTTCCACAGTTAAGTTCCCTGGAGTCCGTACTTATATTGACCCCCTTACTTATGAGGATCCAAACCAGGCAGTACATGAATTTGCACAAGAGATTGATGTCTCATGCATCTCTATTGAGAGGATCATTGGAGCTGGTGAGTAAAATCAGTATGCCTGTCTCAGTCTGTTCATTTTTGACTGATAGATGGTTTCTCATTCTGAGACTGAAGCAGATGTGACCAGAATAATAGAAAATGTATATTCTCTAAAGTTACTAAATATTTTTTTTCCGTAATGGATAGACCGAAAGTTCTTAGCCTCATGTTTACCTCTGGCTCACAAACCTACATGTCGAATCACAGTCATGTGATGGCAGTTATCTATTGTTATTTTCAAAATAAAAAGAGAGGCAGGGTTCACCAGCTTTTATAGGAAGCCTAGGCAGAAGTTGAACTGAGGGAACTAAATTACTTGCCCTCATCATCAGAGACTCATCTGCCTCCGATGCAAACCAATCAGCTTTGAACCGCACCTCCACGAAGCCAAATAAGTATCCAGAGTTCATCTTAAAAGGTCTTTAAATCCACGACTTGGCCTGCTACACAGCCAAAGTACAAGAGTGGTTGCCACCAGCATAAAAGTGGTAGCGCTGTTATATTTTGACCCAGATTCAACCCATCTCCATATCCTTCTCCACAATCGTAGCTAAGCTCCATCTGGCTTCTCCATGGTGCTTCTTCAACTTTGTCCCTATCAGAGTGTAATTCCTTCTGGACACTTCCTGCATCGCAGGTCACATCTCAATCCGCCCAGCATAAGACCGCCATGTTGAGCCTGGTTCTGCTAGAAGTTTCTTCCCAAAGGGGAGTTTTTCCTCTCCACTGTCGCTTCATACTTGCTCATTATGGACAAGTTCATGCAAATCTTTGTTTATCCAAGCTGGACATCTATCTTCCAGCTCCTAGTGAAGTACTAGTATCAGCTCACAGTCTACTGGATCTCACCTATACAGCTTAAGCAGATCATCTCGCCAACCAGCAGTCTATGGACTAAACCTACTTCATCTATCTCCTCTCCACCACCAGGTTCAGGCCTCCGGGGAAACATCCCTGTTCTCATACACCTGCTTATGCATATTAAAGTAAAATTCAGAGCTAACGTTTCCTGCCGAGGTCTGAGCGCCAAAGTCTAAAAATAATTCTGTTACTAAAATTCTTCTTATTGTCTCTTTCTTTCTGTGTGAGTTTTTTCAGATTTAAATGTTATTTACTGTTCCAAAGCAAGTTAGTGAGCCAGTTTTCAAGTAAAGATCAAATATTGCAGTTCATTTGGGACTTATTTAACTAGATTAAATTTTCTCTCCACAGCCTTTACATCTAAAAAAATATATTTTTTTAAAGATGTATGTTCTTTTGCTACAGGGGAGTTTGGCGAGGTGTGCAGCGGACCCCTTAGGCTACCTGGCAAAAGAGAGATCCAGGTTGCCATTAAGACCTTAAAAGCAGGTTACACAGAGCAGCAGAGACGTGACTTCCTGTGGGAGGCATCCATCATGGGCCAGTTTAACCATCCAAACATCATTCGCCTGGAGGGAGTTGTCACCAAAAGTAAGCATTTGAATGATTTTTAAAGCTATCTTAAAAGGTTACCCTGAGTCTTGACGTTTTCCAAGTTGCTGAGCCAAAAATGCAAAGAGAAAAAAATAGCATTGAAGACAAGACAATCTTTTTATATAATATGAAACTATTGTTGGTTATACAGCTTTCACTCTTCCCTGGACAACCAGCAGAGAAAGGTAGTTTTAATTGGTCAAGCTGCTGCTTTTTGAAACATATTCAGATTTGGATAAATGTTGTAAGAATTCCCTTTAGAAGTTGACTAATCTAAGGAACCTATAACGATTTTTTTTTTAAGTTTGTTGAAAGCTGCAGGAACATGGAAGAAATGTTTCCAATTAAAATGGACCACTTTGCATAAATGCCAATGTTCTTTGGCATTTATGCAAAGAACTGAATCTGCCAAAGAAATAGCACTATATCATCTTTAAGCAAACCATCCCATCAATGAAATATGGTTATTGCAGGATTATTCCAGGGAAATGCTCCTTCATTATATTAAACTTGTTATAGACTTGAAACCCAAGCGATGGTTTCTAGCAAGATCAATAACACTAAAGTTAAAGCCAGAGCTGTGGTGTTATGATTTCCATTAAAATCTTATTCTTTTATTAGACTTTGTTTAAATCATGTGGCAAAACTGGGAAGTTGATGATCATATATGCTCTTCAACCAAAATAAAATAGCTTAAGCTATTTTACAAAAAAAAGTATTTAAAAAAAAAAAGACAGAAAAAGGTTTCAATTTTATGGAAAACTGGATCACAAACAATCTAAAGACGTAAAACTGCAGAGAATCCTGTTTTTTTGTTCACTAAGACTGTATACAAATGCATACTTAAACTTTAAGGTTTTCATTTTTAAAAATTAATTAAAAACCATCGGTCCTCCTGCAGTTTCAGATTTTTCAAGTCGGATACTCAACAGCAGCGGCAAGTTTTCCATATTTTGCAAAAATATCTGTGGTTATTGTTTCCACAAAGGAGGGATTGGAGCAATACCAGCTGATAAAGTGAGATTCTGGGTGTACAGTATTTGGACCTTAAGAAATAACACCAATAGACTAATATTGATTGATTGATATTATCAAGAGACATCTAAAGGCCGACCTCAATATATGCAGCAGGATGGCTGTCAACTTTATACAATAAAACTGGAAAAAATTACTGAACTTCAATATTGTGGCATATTTATAAAAGAAAAAATAGAATATCAAAAGAATCTGTAAAGAGACATGGGGGAATTTAAATAATGTACTCTCATTTTGCAGTATATTATGCAGACATATTTTTATAATTTTCATATTTAACCTTATATGATGAGTTATTTTCATCATTTTATGTTTTAAAACCTTTGTTCATAGGATTTTAAGATAGGCTAACTATTGTCAGGGGAAATTTTAAGATTATTTAGTATTTTCAGTACCTTTTTTTTTATATATATTTTTCATTATAATCTCCATTTTCATGGCTTTGAACCTCATCTTTCTTTTACGCTGACTATCCAAGTAGAACACACAATCTCATTTTGTTTTTCGCATTTCGGTTTGCACGTCAACATTTGCACAGAAATCCTTGTAGATCACCTGCAATCTGCCTACTTATTGCATGTGCTACAAAAGTATGTGCAATGTAGTAGCTCCTATGTGGAACCTTTGAAGATCAGGCCCTAAGAGTAAAGAAACGGATAAAATAAAAAAGCTTGCAAAAAATGTATGACAATCTGCTGCTATTATATTTTACATTGTCACATCAAACGTAGTATGACATCACAACCTTTATTCCTTATCTTAAAGAGTACTTATAACCAAAGTGTGTTTTTCAAACTTTTCAGGTAAGCCGGTGATGATCATTACTGAATACATGGAGAATGGATCATTAGACACCTTCTTAAAGGTATGTGTGAGAAAACCTTTCAGGTACACAAAAGATGAGCAATAGAACACTAAGGATGAATAAAAAAACTGGTATAGAGATTAGATTTGGATAAGTATTTGAGTCATGGGGACCTTCCTGTTCTAGAAATATGTTTTGGTGGCAAACAGATTCAGAGATTAAAGTAAAGTAGTTTACCAAAAAAAAAAGCAATACTTCTTCAAGAATAAAAAAAATGGACTGGATGGAAAAGGTATGACAGAAACAAGACTAAATAATTACCGGTAAACTAAAATGGATCCTGTAGTGTTCCTTATGAGGTATCGATCCACTCACTCTATTTTATACTTATTTTTGTAATACAAAAAATAACATGTATAACATTGTTTCGGGAACTTGTAGGAACATGACTGGCAGGCTGTAAGATATATTAAGTAAAAATGTAGAAAATAATGAGCTGTTGAAAAAATACTTGAATCTTTAGGTTTATACTGTTGTTGGGGCTTTTTTCCAGCCATTTATCCAAAGAAATATACAGCATAACCGATAACGATCACATTTATGCATCAGTTGAAGAGTTGAGATTTGATGAATATGCTTTTCATACATTTTCAACAGCCTTGTTTTCAGCTTCATGTCTCACCTTGAATTTAACTCTACCAGAAAATGTGAGTCATCTGAGAACGTAACCTCCAGAACAGTATCTGGCCTGTGCAGACTAGATTTCACTGAGAGCAGAAAATAATCTGTAATTAAGGAGCAGGCCCCCAAATCTCTGAATAAAATGATCTGTCTCCGCTCTCGTCAGTGATTACAATACAAAAAAATCTCCTGTGGCACAGAGAACTGAATTCTCACAGAAAGGGAACATTTCTGAGGCAGATGGCTAAACCAGCAATGAGCAAAATGAGGTCAGATGATTTCAGCACCGTTTGTGATTTAAAACTTGCTTTAATAGAAAAGGAGATCAGGGCCAAACATGATGCTTCTAGTGTGACTATATGGAAAAGCAGGATGCTCTGAGAGGATATTCAGAGAGAGCCATGGTGAGAGGAAATCACTGTCATGACTGTGTGGTCTGCTTTAGCTATAAACTTTCATGGCAAAGGGGAAGCAGAGGAGATTGGGAACCAGCAGAAACCCTGTGATGTAATTACATGGATGGCTGGTGTACTGAGGCTGGTGTAAATGACACAGTCAGGAGAAAACCAGAGGCCAGGCTAGGTCCTGGATTAGCTGTCACAGCTTTGGACAATGAACTGCACCCCTCATAACTCACATCTTTGGCTTAACATCTCATTTAAGATGAAAGCAGGATGTTCTGCAGTGGACTGATGGAAAAACTTGCAGAGGTAAAGAAAACTAAAGTTGGAAATTGAAATCGTCTTGGGAAAATGGGTGTTTTGGTTTAACTACGTGCTTGCTGTAGAAACGTATAAGACTGGATGAGAGGCAGGTAGAAAGTCAACATTTGGATTGGACAGAGCTAAAGCTTAAACTAACGATGAAAGATGTCATTGGATGGGGATACCAAAGCTCCCTTTCAGACAGTTTCTTTTTTCCATTAATCTGGCAGGAATTCAGAAGTGTCGGCTTTGTCTGAACGAGCATCTTGGTGCTTTTTCGAAACAATCTGCCATGACAGTCTTCCTGAGTCAGACCTAGTTTCGCACAGGATCAGCCTCTGACTACCCACACAGTACTTTGCAAACTTTCTGCCTTCATAGTTTTCACTAAAAGTAGAATCCCTGCTTTGGTTCTGACAAGTCCCTAATCCCACCACCTGCTTGAGAAGTATAAACATGTTTGAGGTGCTCTATTTAACGTTGCTCTACCGTTATTTTGTCTAACATCACTATTTACTTGTTCGGCTGACATAAGAGTTGTGGCAACGTGGCATTTTGTGATAAACTGTCATACCCGAAGGCCAAACGGAGTTACAGGCTCTGCTGCAGCTCAGCCTCACACACAGTTATGACAGTAGTGACAGTGCCTCAGGTAAAGAGAAAATACATTTTTTTCTTCTCAAACTGATAATAAATATAGTGCAATAAACCCAGTGTAACTGTACCACAAAAGAACATTATAAATGCTGAGAACAGTTTAGGTAATAAAGAGAAAAATTACATTTTGGCTATTCAATGTATTGTTGATGAGAAACATAAAAAAAAAAAAATTTTATTAATAAAACTCTCAATCAATTATTTTGCTTTCCTCTGAGTTAACAGTGTAAAGAAGGGGAGAAAAATTCTGTTTTCTTAGGATTAAGATTTTTAGAGTCCAACATGAAAAAGGACGAAATAAAGTTAGGATGGAGCGAAAGAATAAAGTTAAAATTAAAATAATAGCCTAATTTAATCTATTTTAAACAAACATCTAAGAGCTTAAAATTAAATTAAAACATAAATTTCACAGACATTTTTAAAGCAAGGCTTTAAAGAATAATTAAAATGATACACGAGCTCAAATAGTTAAAGCAGATTAGAAAGCTGAGTGTTTCAAAGAAACTATGAGTCGAAAAAATATTTTATGGCACAAAGCTGAGGGTTGACCCAACTTATATACTAATTAGGAGAGAATAAAAAAAAAATTCAATTCAGTTTATGTATCTAGCGCCAATTCACAAAACATTTCATCTCAAGGCACTTTACAATTCACCAGATCATGCAGTCAAATTGATTCAAAGTTTTCTATCTAAGGAAAACCAGATGATTGCATGGACTCATTGACTTGGATGCAATCCCTCACATTAAGCATGCATTGTATCAAAAAAAAAAAAAAAAGAGAGAGGAAGAGGGAAAATAAAAGTCAAGGGGAGCCCAAAGTTGAGGTTCCAGTAAGATAATCTTTCCATAATAGACTGTCAGGGATGCCATTTAGTTAAGAACACCTTACATTTGATCCTAGTTTTGTTCCTCAAAGATTTTTTTTGTATTGTTCTTATCAATATTTGGCTCAGAAAACACTAATAAAATATAAAAAGTTGTTGAAGCAGATGGCAACGGGACTGTGGTTAGATTTTTACTTCATTGGTTGTACAAGGCCAGCACAAATCTTTGCGTTCAAAGTTCAGATTGTTGAAAGGTAAATTGATCAGCCCAGGTTTTTTGTTTAATTAACTCCCTTTTTTTTTTTGCGAACTAAGCATTTTAAAGTGACATTCATTACTGCTGCAGTATTCATCATAAAATTCTCCTCTCACTATTTGTTGAAAAGCCATTACAGTAAGTGGCAAACCATTTTGGGCTTTTGCAGTAGTGTGTCAAAAGAAGGGCTTGACAAAGGCCTTTTTAAATTTGCAATTTGACAAATGTTATAGGGACATTTTATATTCACCCAAACTTATGGTTTTAACCTTTCAAAACCGTGACTGTTTTAAAGCATTTACAAATAATAACTCAAAATGCATGAAAATTACACAGGTAAAATGTTTACTAATACAGACATGTTCGACATCGTTGGAAGGCTTGGATTCTCCACAGTTCAACCACCTAGTTCATTTTATGGACATAGCGAACACCAAAGCACAATTAACACAGATATAGCAGCATGTCAAAATGTAGCATGACAAAGCAGCCACAACAAGCAAGCATATCTTCATAACTGCTGTTCAAAAAAGACCTATTGTTTTCGAGAATAAAAAAAACCAAAAAAGAAAAAAACTTTGAGTCTTGTTTGAACTGATGCAGCTTAGGCTTGAAGCAGCTTGGGTGTTTTACTCACCCAATTTTCATGTATATATTCAGAAACTAGCTTACAAATAATGTATTACACATGCAATTTCGGTTTACAGTTCCTAAGTTATTTGCTTTTCCATTTGGGTATGCAAAATAGGTGAGACTTTCCCAAAATTAAGTGGATATTAAGAATTTCAGTAAGTTGCTTTAACCTATATATTATGTGATATAAGTATTGATTTATTTTAGTTTTTGTGAAATTCAAGAAAAATCTTGAAATTAAAATCTAAATTGGGGAAAAAAAATTGAAAGTGAAATTAATATCTCAATTCTGCTGGGACAATAGGAACACAGGTCTGCCCATGACAGTTTTTACACAGAAAAATCCTGAATCGAGCAAATACTTGGGTTTTGAGAGAGAAAATAAAATAGTTTTGAGATAATTTTTCTCATCCTTTTCTCTATTTGCAAAAAACAGCAATAGAGAGTTGAAATATATTTTTTCCCTTGAAAATTATTTTCCAAATGTCAATTTCTCTTTTATTTATTCCATGACAAAGTATTTTCCCTCAAAATGTTTTTTCCATTCTGAGTTGATATCAGTGTGAAAATTGGTTCTCTCCAATAAATGTATTTTACATTCAATTTAACTCAAATTTTCCCCTTTCAGATTTTTTCTTGAATTTAATAAAAACAAAAAATAACTCCGTATATAAGGAAATGTGGTTATTAAAATAAAAAAAAGAAGCCCTTTTTCATTGTTTGTTTTATCGCAGTCATCTGTCCAAACCAGGAATCAGAGCCACAATCAAAATCCCATAAAGTCCTAATGTAAATAATTTGTCTCAAGTATTGCATCCCTACATAATATTTGCATATCATAATTAAATAAATCCAAACACAGCAAAAAACAAATGGAAGTATTTGTATTGTGCTTTGGTCAAGTCAGGAGAGCCCTCTAAATTCTGTCATTCACCCTTTCAGACAAACACTGATGGTGGCACGTTAGATTGTAGCCACAGCAGCCCTGGGGCTCACTGACAGAAGAAAGGCTGCCGTACACAGCCGCCATCAGGCCCTCTGACCACCATAAGTAGGCAATGTGGTAGAAGTGTCTTACCCAAGGACACACAATAATAAAGTATGAGTTTGAAATGATTTTTTTTTTACAGCTAAGCATTTAAAGTAAGGGAATGTAAAATAGTTGAACAAGGTTGAAGAATGGGGTTATGAAATGACCTAGAGTTCAAGTTTCACTTTCACTAACAGCTGTGCCACTGGAACGTCCACACACTGTGCCTTGCATGATAATATCACTAACTGGTTGTGCTCCTGAGAAAAAATATAACAATCTATTTTTTATTGGTCTGTCCCTCAAGAAAAACATATTTCCAATGTTAAATCACTGTGAAATGTCTATAATATTACACAAAAGATGTTTTAGACAAGGTGCTGATAAAGCTACGTTTATTTTATTTTTTTTAAACCTAGCTGTAGCGGTGGCAGTGACATGTATAGTGCTGGAGTGATTTTTCCTGTGCTTTATTCATTTGCTGAAGCATTTATGTTATATAACTCATATTTGAAGTGGTCTGTTTTTAGAGAGATGTAAGAGTCTTCTCTGAAGGATGGCAAAAAGTGCCTCACAGCTGAATAATTGTACAGAACTCTGTAGTAAAATACTCAACTTTTCACTCTTGAAATCTCCGATTCAAAAGTGGAGTCACGAAGGTTAGAGCCGAGTATATAGAGTTGTGTTTGTTATTGATTCTACACTGTTGGTTAATTAACTTTGTAGTTTAGGCAGCCTTGAAAAAACTAGAGATTATCTTTCAGTAGCACGGCACAATCTTTTGTTTTTCTTCTGCAATCTGTTTCTTTCTTTTTTCGTTTTCTTTTCCAGCACACTTCTGCAAACTGCTGACCTTTGGAGTCACAGAACAAATGTAATTAAATACAACCAGGCTTTGCCGACAGAGTTTCAGCGCAATGCCATTGAGATACCCTGTACTAGTAATCCACCTTAAATAGCAACACATTAAAGAAATCTCATCCCCCTGCTCTTAATTACATAAAATAACGATTATATGTTGTTGAGTTGTATTGATATTCACAAAGATTCTGTGCCTGAAATTCATGGCATCTATATATCTTTGTCTTGCCTTTTTTACTGTAGAAAAATGATGGTCAGTTTACAGTTATCCAGCTGGTCGGCATGCTGCGGGGCATCGCATCTGGCATGAGGTAAACATAGTCCTTAGACACGCATATCATTACTGAACTTGCCAACCATTCCTAACTACTGTGTTGATCGTTACAGGTACCTTTCAGACATGGGTTATGTCCATCGTGATCTGGCAGCCCGTAATATCCTTGTTAATAGCAACCTTGTGTGTAAAGTGTCTGATTTTGGACTGTCCCGAGTCCTGGAAGACGATCCAGAGGCAGCATACACTACAAGGGTAACTATTAACTATCTACTCTGTCTGTTCTTCATTGACTTTTACTATTGTTAAATAATAGCTTAGTATAATAGGACCTGCATTCGGTCATATGAAAATATTCATGGTGATCGAAGATGTAAAATTTGGAGCAGAGCCTTCTCTCTTAGTCTGTACTGTCTTGCATTTGTTAATATCAAACTAGCTAGACTGTTGAGAGACTATTGTTGGATCATCTACAGTGGAAGACTAACATTGGTGATCCCTGAGCTTTACTTTAACTTTTAAATAATTGAGTTTCTATAAACAACTGATGTCCAAAATTAGGAGGTTAAACACATTAAAGCTGGTTTTGGAAAAGAGTTGCCATTAATAAAGCTGCTGCACGGGCGCCTAAATTACTCATTAAAAAAATTGTGAACTATGCTTTCTTTGTGACAGGAACCTTTATTACTACTTTAGAAATAGTAGGGGCTGCTCAGTGGCACAATGGGTAGCACTGCTGCCTTGCACCAAGAAGGTTCCGGGTTTGATTCCCGGAATGGAGTTTGTATGTTCTCCCTGAGCATGCATGGGTTCTCTCCAAGTACTCCGGCTTCCTCGCCTTTCCAAAAATATATCTGTTAATTGGCTTCTCTAAATTCTCCTTAGGTGTGAGTGTTTGCATGCATGGTTGTTTGTCCTGTTTGTCTCATTGTTGGCCTGCAATGGACTGGTGACCTGTTTAGGGTGTACCCCACCTCTCGCCCATAGACAGCTGGAGATAGGCACCAGCACCCCTCCGCAACCCTGCTTGGCATAAGCACGGCAGAAAATGGACGGATGAAAAAGAAGGCATTAGAGAAAGTTCTGTGTATATATTTCTCCTAATGTTTGGATTACTAAAGAATTAAGTGAATACTTTCTTTAACATATTAATGGAGACACATCTCATATAACCATTCTTCCCTAGAAAGAGAACTGTCCAAATGAATCATGCATTATGTTTGTGTTTTAGTGTCACACACTTTGCAATAAATAAGAAACTCTGAAATATTTATATTCATGCATTCACACAGATGACAGCAGCAGGCTTTAAATTGAGCTGTGCATCCTTGACTGAGTCTCTTCGTGCCAGCTAGAGACAGGCGGTCTCCTGCAAGAGAAGGACCAATTAGAACTCAACTCAGTCTCCACAACACTCAATTAGCACCAAGTCTGTATGCCTTGGTGCCAGATATCCTGTCACTCACTTCTCAATGCCAGCCGCATCCCTTCTCGTTCTCTCTCTCTCTGTCGTTATCAGGCTCCCATTCCCCAACGAGTGAGAATAACATGATTCACATCCTTGAAATAATCAGACCCCGAGATATCCTGCTGCTGTATTCATCAATACTGCATCAAGTTAATTTCACTTCTCATCAGCTGAAAACACATTTTCCTGTAGAACTCAGCAGTGTTCCTGTGAACCCTTTTTAAATCTTTACTAGGAAAGCATTATAATGAAGATGAGGGAAAATGAGAAGAGCAATCTGAGACCCCCAACAGCTTGGATAGGGAATTCATGCAAGTGGGTAAAACTTGTCACTGCAAGAGTGTTCCTAAATCTGTGTTCATTAGCATAGGAAGTGTCTCAATTACAGTTTGTTCATGGTTGCCATCTGAATGTAAAAAAAACATTTTTCTTTCTTCAGCCTGCAGCTGTACTTATCAAACAATGATTTAGACTAGAAATACATTTATGCAAAAATTTAAAAGGCATTTCAATAAAAAATCAACACATAGCAAAAGCTACAGATACTGATTAAAAGAAGCTGCAACTTAACAGAGTAATCTCAGGCTTTAATCTGTTTTTCTAAAGCACCTTAAAGTACATGCAGTGCTTTAAATTAGAAATGAATCATCTGACATTTTTGACTTCTGTTTTATAGCAACCCCAAACTTAATTGTGTCTAATTGCAATAATTGTGTTGGGCCGACACAAAGTAATGTTTCCAAAGTGGAAAGAAAATTATTTTTGATTTTATTATTTTGTCAAAAGTTAAAATTGCAACTCTAAGTAACGACTACAGTAAATACAAAAACATTAATAATGGATAGCTAATGGGGACAGAGCAGCAAGCACGTCCTTCATGTGATCTCAAACATAGCTGCGTAATGCACTAATAAGTCGACCAACGCATGCACGTATCAACTGATACTGATACAAGGAAAAAGACGCTAATGTCAGTCAAGAAAATTGGCATGCAAATGTATCGGTATATCTCTAATCTTCAGACAAAAATGAACATGCTGCAAAAGGACAATCCTGCACAAATCCCTGAACACACCGTCCCCATAGTAAAAACATAGTGGTGACGGAGTGGTGCTGAGGAGATGCTATTCTTGGTAATTAACAGGGAAGCTAGTCAGAGCTGATGGAATGATGGAGCCAAATACATTACAATCCTGGAAGACAACCTTTAGGGGCTGCAAAAGACATTTCCATAAACAAACAGCCAGAGCTGCGATGGGTTTGCATCTCTGGCTGTCTCTCATCCTCCTGTTTGCTTAAAGCTCCCCAATCACATTAAGTAGGTCAGTGCGCTGCACAGAGCTGCGCTCACAGCCACGATTTTTAGCTGAATCTGTTTGCAACCTTTTTTATTTTGTTTTTTAACTCTCTATTTTTTAACATCCTTATGTGGAAATAAAAAATTCTGCTCTAAATGTTGTTTTAAACTAGGACCTGTCTGAGTGCTGTTAGCGATCACCAGCCAGTCTGGATTGTGAAGCATTACCAACATGCTTTTTTTAAGAACTGGTTTTAAGACACAACACTGAAACACATTTAGGGAGGAATCCTGTTCTTCCTCATTGCCCCTGTTCTGCTCATCTATTTTTTATTGTAGGATGTTTAGGAATTCTTCTTAAGACCTCCATTGTTACTGTATTTAAAAAGAAGATGGGTCCAGCAAGGTATTTAAATAATCAATTAAATATTGTCTTCCTTTCTTGCAGGGAGGAAAGATTCCTATTCGCTGGACAGCTCCTGAGGCAATCGCATACAGGAAGTTTACCTCTGCTAGCGATGTGTGGAGTTATGGGATTGTCATGTGGGAGGTTATGTCTTATGGAGAAAGGCCCTATTGGGATATGTCCAATCAAGACGTAAGTTTCTTTTTTTTTTATGTCTTTCAGATACATGTTTTGGGCCTATAAAAACACCCGAGCGGCATGTTCCCACTCATTTGCACAGGCAACATATGTGCGCACAACCCCTCAGTGACCTCTCAAGGCTCCTCCCTCCTTTTGGTTATTAGTCTGCCTATCTCAAAGACTAGAAGGGTAGGAGAGGAGGGAAGATGAGGATGAGTGGTAAGGAGAGGAGAAGACGTTTGATGTTTAATTGAAAGCGTTATGCAGGATTTTCTCTGATCTGCACAAGAAAGTGCAGGCTTGAACGTTCCTTCTCTAAGCTGTCTCCTTCTGTTTCCTATTCTCTCCCTCTCCCTTTTAATTTCTTGTCCTCTCTTGTCTCTCTAAATGCAGTCTCTGTCTCTATTCTTTTTGTGTTGCCTTTCGTCCACCCTCTCCTTCATTCTCTCTCCTCAGTCTATGATCTTTGCACCCTCCTAGTGTGAAATAAAGTCGTTCTCCCTCTCAGCCGACCGTGATGGTTTGATGCAGGGCTTTTCTTCTAGCACGTTAGTTGAAATGCGTGTATGTATACATGCACTTTCATGCATCCATGTGTATTGGAGTGTTATCATGTAGGTCTTTTGTCTGAATTTAGGCAAAGTAAAGGCTGTTATGAACTCAACAGATCAATTCCCTGCAGTCTCATGCATTGGAAGAGCTCGGCTGAAAACTCCTGCCTGCTCTTCACTGCAGGCTCCAACGGAAAGAGCTGGGGTTTATTTATTATTCATCTAACTCTGTTTCCCTTTCAGAAAAAAAAAGAAAACCATGATTCAGTGCTGCATCTTCTAAGATACAGAAATGAATAACTGGGCTATGCGGCATTTGAAATAAACAAGTACTCTTTTAATGCTGTGCTTCATGCTCAAAGGGGCTAGTTGCTGCTTCATGGAGTTTAGAGTAAGGTCAGATAGAGAGCAACAGAACTTCTTTACACCAGCTATATAAGTTTGAGTTCTTCCTTGTTGTGCTTGGATATGATCAAAAAGCTCTCTCTGTTGCCAACTTATTACTTTTTTTCACTCTTAAAGTTATAGAGGAGGATGTTTGTTTTCCGAGTGAATCATCAAAATAAGTGGTCCTCTCAATCGTCAATCATTCTGGTTATATGTTCACATAAGGCCGTCCTAGGTGCTCGTCCCCATTTTCAGCTAACGCTATGCTGAGAAATACCTGGCTGCTGAGAATTACCTCCCCTCTAACACACTGATGAGAAAACGGATTAAAATATTAATAGAAAAGGGAACTTTTAAACATATTCTTAATGTTTTCATATTTCTTATGCTTAGATGCCCTAAAATTTAGAGTTTAGCTTGACAGATAAAGTCGAATGAATACAATTTTTACTTTCATGGAGAAACATTTTTGTCAAAGTGCTACAGTCAGTGTCACATTAATATATTTTTGAATCAGTGGATGGCATTTCCCGCTTTTGCTATCAACACCATTCTATATCATTTGTGACAAAACATTAAGAATATTTTTAAAAGTTCCCCTTTTTCATTCATATTTAAATCCGTTTTCTCATCAGTGTGCAAAAGTTTAGGGCGATGCGCGCTTCTGCAACGGGAGGTAATTCTCGGCATGAAGGAATTTCTCTGCATTTATCTGTCCTCCAAAACTTTCAGTTTTAGGGCATCCATGCATAAGAAATATTAAAATATTAAGAATATGTTTAACAGTAAAAGTAAGCTTGTATGAACGATGCAAACAGCAACTTTTTAACCCAGCATGCATGAAGAGAAATGGGCTCGAGCAATCTCTCACACGCGTTTATTAGGGTTTTCCTCTTGGGAGCGGGTACAGGGTGTGTATGTGCATTTTCTTTATTTATTTATTTTTTTAAGTTGAGAGGGTGGGTATTTTCAAAAATTCATGAAAATCCTCCACTTTACCTTTAACAAGCAGCCATTTGGCCTATCAGTCAGCTACATGTTCGAAACCACTCATAGATGGCCCACTCTTTTGAGTACCATCTCCTTCCAGCTGCAGTGAGAGCAGGACATGCCCTCCCATTTGCATATGAATGGCAACCACTTAAAAATGTAACTGATCTGAAACTATATTAATTTCTTTAATAATAATACATTTCTTCACAAATATAAGTTGTTTGATTTGACCCATTTAACCTCACTTATGTACTCACTTTATCTGTATGTTTACTACCATTCTATGTTGTCCATAACATTAAAACAATATTAGATGTTTATATACATTAATAAATACAAGAGTTAACCAAAAGTCATTTTATGTTATCTGAAAATTGCAAGAACTTATTTAGTGAAGACAGAAATTAATAGATGTTCTTGAACAGTTTTAAACCTACTTTTTGTCCAAAGTTTCTCTTTTCTGAAGTATCTGTCAAATATGTAAATAGAAAAATTGTTAAAACTAACACCTGTAAAGCGTAATTATTTAAAGTTTAACTGTTTATTCTGCTGCGTAAAAGATTTCAACATTGCTATCAATAGAAAAACATTCAAACTGAGGCATTGATTCAGTTAATTTCTACCAAGTCCCCTGCAAATATAAGACGCTAAAATGGCCAAAAGAATCTGTCAACCGAAGAATCAGTCTATATCTACTCTGGAATTTATAGGAACCTTTTTAATCTTGTTTTTGTTGTCAAAGGAGAATGTATAGGGAAAAAAATCACAGCAGGTATTAGTGATAAAATGTATTGTGATACTGTAACTGACGAAAATTCAAACACACCATTAATACTATTAACTTTAGTCAAGTTTGTAACTGGGATTATTTTTTTATCAAACAATAATCTATAATTTCTCACACTGGTGTCACTGACACAAAATCCTGCTCCTCCCTACTGCTGTTATCAGAAAACGACCATCATGCATCTCTGTCTCTTTCATTTGCTGACAGGTAATAAAAGCAGTAGAAGAGAGCTACAGGTTGCCTGGCCCAATGGACTGTCCAGAGGCCTTGTACCACCTGATGATGGACTGCTGGCAGAGGGAACGCAGCAGTCGGCCCAAGTTTGATGAAATTGTTTGTCTACTTGACAAGTTTATTCGCAACCCCAGTTCATTAAAAAAGTTGGTCAACTCTTCACACAGGTATGGCAGGATTCTCTCACAAACACAAGTTAGTTGATAAACAGAACTAATGATTAAATCTGCTTTGTTATGATCTGCCCTTCAATAAACACATTAGAAATGTCAATTGTCTTGATTATTTGGTTGTATTTTACACTATGTATTTTTAGGCAATCTCTGTATAGTGAAAAAAAGTCACTTATTAATGCCATACAGACACCTGGTAGGGTTTTTTTTCTTTGTAATGATCTCAAGCAGAGTGTGACATGCATACAAATTGGAGCATGGTTAATAAATTACTGCCATGTCTAATATACAATGACATATGACAGCTGTCAAGATTAAAGGCCCTCCAATAAGTCCAGACCTTTTTCCACAGCAGCCTTCTCTTCCTGGTGTAGCATGGAAAATGTTGTTACCTACTGTGAATGTTTCATTTGATTGCATGGGGAGCTCTATTTGTCAGCACCAAGAGTGAGCTGAATGACAAAGAGTTTTGAGGGGAAAAGCATTTGCAGCTCTGTGTGATGGTGCATGGCTTGCATTATCTGTGAAGCCTCACAGGTAACTGTCAGGATTGATGGGTTGAGCTTTAAGCTATCTGTGTGTGTCCAGGTCATATGGTTCATAATAACAGTATGAAACGTAGCCCTTTGTCTACTATGACCACATTGTGTGTAAAACAATTAATCTGATGACTTTTGCTGTAAGCAATTTGTCATCTTATACTTAAAGGTAGTTTATGTAATAATTGTTTGCAGAACTGTTCTTTGTAATAGATTAAAACTGTTTTTATGACCTCTATGTGCTAGGGTTTCCAACTTGTTAGTTGAGCATGCCAGTGTGGAAGGAGACTGCAGCACTCGAGGAAAGACTGTCGGAGAATGGCTTGACTCAATCAAAATGGGCCGTTACACAGAGCTCTTCATGGAGGGAGGCTACTCTTCACTTGACACAGTAACTCAAATGACATCAGAGTAAGACCATCTGCATATTCTAAAGCAATGTTAGTTATTTTGGCTATTTTGTTATTCTTTTGAGTTTTTTTGGAAGGGGGGATATAGGTGTTTATTTATCTGTTTGCTGTTTTGCAGGGATCTTCGAAGAGTAGGTGTAAATCTGGCAGGACATCAGAAAAAAATCATCACAAGTATTCAGGAGATGAGAGTCCATATGAATAGCACCAACTCTACTGTAAACATCTGATGCATATGTACAGGCATGCACACACATCAGACATCCATATGCGTACCTGAGTGGAAACCAATATGTGGACCTAGCATGTAATCAAAGAACTGTTGGACCTAGAATGGCATAGCACTTTTTTGGAGACAAAGAAACCCTAATTTCTATGGATTTTCACTTGATGATCCGCATTGTTGGTGAGTCGTATTCGTGGAGCTCGTGGAGATGTATAACACTACAAGGCTAAAACCAAACTGAAGTGAACTGGACTGAATGGTGCTATGCGAAGGACCGAGGAAGGCAAACAAAGCTGACTCTTAAGGGATTTTTTATCCAACTTTGCCCAATTTCTGGATTCTTACATTATTTGTACTGTTAATATTCACCTAGCTCAAACTAGAAATGAATGGCTCTACCACGTTGGAAGTTTTCATAAAGTGGTCTCAAAATGAAACTTCTTAATCTCTCAGCAGGTGAGACAAGCCAACCTGGTCTGAACAGAACACGTACCAGCCAGAGTTTTTTGACATACACTACCTTTACAAGTCAGTGAATTGAAAAGAAAATCTCAGGTGGGGTAAAAACTAATGGTACAAAAACATCATTATTAGCGTGAGCTGTTGGTTTGGCATATTGGACTTATTTGTTTTATCGTCTGTCTTGTTTTATGAATCTTGGCTTTCATATACTATCATTCAAAGTAAACAAATCAGTCAAATAAATAGTGGATTTAAGATAATTAACTTTATAAGTTGTAAGTAAAGCTATTACATAAGCAAAAAAAATTGCTTTCACATGTGGATACTATAGAAATACCCCTTTGCCTGAATGTAGAACATTTGTAGAATGTGGCAATAAACCTTTTGCTATTTGAAACCAGCCACTGAATGATACCAGGGATTGCTAAACATTATGTTGACAAGCCTGAAAGTCTGTAAAACAATAGTTTCCTACAAAAACTGTCTCTTTATCAACACCCACATAAATGACTAATCTTCAAATTAAATCAAATACTCAACTGATGCATTTATTTATAAATTACTAGCCCTTTTTTGCAAGCATAAACATGCATCATTTGCATGCAGTCAAATCCTTCTGCTAAATTTAAAAAAACAAAACAGAACATTTTCTCATTGTTTCATTATAAGTAATAGAATATTCACTCCTAAAACAAAGGTGGAGTGATTCTTCATTCCTTTTAGGTGTTTCATGGGATAGTTTGTGTTGGTATTGCTTGTTATCCATGTGATTTTTCTCAGCAGTGTTTAATCAATCTAAAGGAAACTTTTTCTGTTCTGATACTTTTACATAAATCCAAAGCAGCCTTCACCGGTGGTTTAGCGGTCTTTGCAAGCCTTCACTTAGAAACAGTAACCTTCAGGTACCACAGAAAACCCTCAGAAATCAGTTCTGTTCACCACGCCTCAGAGTATCTCTTCAACGCTTGTGTGCCACACCACGATCAACCTCACTCTGACAGGACTGCTGTTAAAAAAAAAAAAAAAGGTAAACTAACAAAAAACAAAAGGTGGCAATACCGACGAACTTGATAATCAGATTTTTTTTTATATGTACTTGTTTAAATAATTTATGTGGACAGTTTGCTTCTTTATTGTACTTACTCATGGACCACTGAGCAACTCCGCCTACATGTATTTTATGTAAATAATGTATTATAGATTTAAAGCAGGGAACATTGTTCTTTTGTCCATTATGATGAGGACAACTTGACATCATTATACTTCTCAGAGTAGGTACATGGTGACAAATACTGTATTTCTGCCTGGATGTCCTAAAAGGGGGTCTAATGGCACAATTATCTCCTACTAAGAGTTTCAAAAAGGACTTGAAGAGAGACAATTTATAAATATTTTGTTGGTTGTGTTTAGAGTTCCAATAAAACGAAAATTAATATTATGACAGGGCCCATACTTGTGCTTCTGCAAGTCCTTAAAAGGTATGCACATTGACTAGTAGATTTTTCCTCTGTAGTCTAGTTAAAAATTAAATGATGTCAGTAATTGATAAAGCCTGTGCTTTGCTTCTCTTCAGGATGGAATAATTTCATTGTGAATATTACGAAAACTTGACCCCTTTGACTGCAGTATCTGCGTCGGCAGAAAGCATTCAGACTATATGTAGATGACTTGCTTCTGTATTTCTTTGTCTATTTACTGTAAAGCTTTGGTAGAAAGTTCATAAAAAATGTTCCTATTGTTCAGAGGTGGTTTTACTCGACCATATGAAAGCACAGAAGAAGAATGTAAGGTTTCAAATAGGTGCAACACTTTGTTTGAATAGCATGTTCAGCTTTTAAACATTTAAAGTTGTGTTCATGGAGCAAAACAAGTCAAGTGTTGAGAACAGAAATGGAGGACTTACTGTAAGAGCCTAATTTGACTGAATGTAAAAGGGTTTATTTCACATTTGAAGTTCAGCAAGTTCAGTTAGTAGTGTTTTCAAAAATTGAAATTAGTTGAAGTGGAGGTTTACTAACAGGAAGCATAGCATCTGCATAGTCTATCTGGTCTCTTTGCAGATGTGCAACTTTTGTTTTGGTGGGTTAAATTTATTTCATTACAGTTTTAATTTATTAGAATATTTCAAACATTTTTTTAATCATTATCTGAAAAGTTGTTTTTTGTTTTTTTGTTTCCATATCCACAGTTAAAGAAAATATTTAAGAAAATACAGAAATGCAGTAAACACCCATAGTCTACTGTGGCTATGCAGATTTGTTTATTTTAATTCATGAATTAACAGGAGTGTTGATTATCTTCAATCAAATATAATGTTTCAAGCTGTTGTATAACCACTCTTTCTGGCTGATTTTTTTTTTTTTAAATCCCACGCGTGGTGCATGAACAATTGGTAAAAAAATACAACCTTATAAGTGCCTCGCATTTTTAAGCACTGGTGTTTCCTCTCCTGTCAAAATACTATGTTCTAACTGTGCCCAAACTTTGTACAATATTCATTCTTTGCCAACAATGTCTAGAGGCAATAAGAGGAATGTCAGACAATGTGTATGTTGGAACTATTTTAATTTGCACTTTATGGAAAATTTCTCTTTTCTTTGACTGCAATGTCTATAGGTGACCTACCTTTTAGGTTATTTTCTTAATTATTTCCTTTGTAATCTATTTCCTGATTATGATGATTATATCACTACATACTGTCAATGCTTCCCTGGACATACCAGTTGACAGCTAAGCACAAAGAGTTGGTAATATTTTTCAAAGAAATTAAAGCTATGGAAATGTTAATATGTAGAGCACCGTCTTCTTGTGTGTGGCACATCACAGGCTCGAGATACAGGCACAGGGTTTTGCAAAAAACTGTTTGGACAGTATGTGGATCGTGACTTTTTATAAAAGATCATTACCACAAGTTCTTGATGTCAGCAAACCTCTTCCAGGCATTTTGTCTCACTATTTTTGAACCTTTGATCCAATGTCAACTGCAAAACTCAAACAAAATGGGCATAGAGAAATGCATTGTTTTTATCAGGGCTGTTGGTCTAGAATTAAACAACTGTCACTCTATATTTGCTGGAATGCAAAAAGGTTCAAATCAGGGAACTGCTCAAATATCAGATTAATTTTAGCATTTTTTTACATAGATTTCCAGATGTCACATATTTAATCTAAATTTGGAACCTGCAAATTTGAACATTTAAATTTGTTTAAAAAAGTCGTAGAAATTGGAGTTTATTCTAAATATACAAAGACAGAAGAGAGATTTGTTTTAATTATTAGAATAAATGTGCTAAAAGTTGATTATGAGGCATAAATAGATTATGATAAATGTGGAGAAGCAATAATGATGACTAAATATCAAGAAAAATGGTAACACCTTGGACAAATCAATGTCTAAAAGCATCTTAAATAATGGTGTAAGGTTACATCAGGGGACAGGGTTATTGTAGCACCAGTTAAAGCATACTTTATGTTTTATGGCACCATTGACTTGTTTCACAATGTTCCTTTTATAAGGAATTCTCTATCAGCTAAATCTTTAAAATGAAATAGTAAATCAGTCAGACGCTCTTTTAAACTTCCTTTGTTTGCAAGAATGTTTGGAAAAATCTGAAATTGGACTATATCTTTTTAGTGTCCGAATTTGTCACTGCAACTACTAATGAGGTGGGAGTCTTATCATAGTAGTTTGTGCAATGTAATGAACTCATTTGGTTAAAAAAAATAAATAGATAATGCTGTTTATTATAATTGGGCATATTTTTTTTTTTTTTTTTTTTTTTGGGAGAACCAAGTCTAATTAAAAAATGGGTAATTAAATCTTGCCCATTTCATTTATTGTCCTCAAGAAGTGGTACATGAGTATGTTTTATATGGCGATTGGGAAAAAAATCCAGCTTTTTTTTTAACTGTACAAAAACAGGTATGCATTCATTTTATTGCAACTCATCAATTTATATGAATAACTCACGCATTATGGTTCAAAACAACTGAATAACTGTTGTGATCATTGAAAGCTCAGTTAAAAATATACTTGGCTATTGGTGTGCTATTGGTTTGTCTTCGAAATTGTATTGTGTAATATGTTTGTGTTGATGTTTTTGTAGTGTCTTATCAAATTCTATATTTTTGCAATAAAACTTGGAAAAGTTAACCTTATTTAATGTAACCATCTATGTCTAAAACCACACTGCTGTTGTTTTTTAATTATTGTTTAAATAATTGATGCCTAGTAAAAAAAAAAAAATCACCAAAGTTGGGACTTTATTGCAAACATAATTTGTCTCTATTTATCTGTTGACAACTGATTTGTGATGAAAAGCCTGGTCGTTTTAGCTAAACTAGCTGGAGTGAATTGGTTTATGAGTCTAACCCTAGGCTTCCACAGTTTAACAACTTTTTTTAGGAATTTCAACTAGTTTAGAATCTAGAAAATGTCATCGAACAAAATGGGTTATTCTACACCAATGGTATTCTGAGGGAGTCTCGTGAAGTCTGGATGTTAAAAGTAAAAAAATCTTCTAGATATTGATGCAAAAAAATCCCTTAAAGTTTATAGCCTATGCTAAATTAGATTTTTACTACAGATACAATTCTCCAAAAAAATTTTATGTTTTTTTTCTGTTTCATTTATATGGCTTGCTGAGAGAAAGCAGAAAGAAAATATATTACCGTAAAAGCTTAGATTTATTATTCACTAGGATTTCTAGTTTTATAGTAGTCACTAAGTATTTTACATTTCAGAGATGACATCAAACTAACCGGTTTTGAAATGTAAAAGCTCTGTAAATAGGTTTTAGTAACATTCAACGACAAATCATCTTTTTTATTTTAAGTTGGCTAGCTTATACTAACCCCATTGTCTTTGTGTTGGTATACTGTAACAGAATTTTTATGTTTTCAGTGATGGTTTCCAAGACATTTGTAGAAACATGAAATCATAGTAAACTTGTGGACAAGATGTCCACTGTTTTAGCTGACCTCAGACACTTAAAACTATTTCACATTTAAATTATCATATCAGTCAGATACCATTCATGGTAGCTGACATTAACAGTTTTAAAGCAGACAACTCTTAAAGTTGGATTCAGATAGCTTTTTTTCTGAGCTTCGTTGTTTGGTAATTATAGAAGGTTATTTTAAACACCAGTAAATTTGGCAGGGTCAAAAAAATTTGGAATCAAAAATGTGTTCCTGTACAAAAAGCACCATAGGTAACAATGGTCTGTGATAAGATTGCAAACTAATATTGTTATTAATGTTTTTTTGCCCCTCTATTTAAATGGAGCTCATTCCCGCCCCTATTCATAACCCTTTTTTTTCTTCTGAGGGTAAGCACAAAGAATTTGACTTGTATGTGTCTTTGTAGTTTACCTTCCATTTTTTCCAAGTCTCTTTTAGTATAGGTAAAAAAAAAATACATCAACTGCACTGCAGGTAAGACCCTGATTATTGGTATTTCCACTTTTGGTGAA